TTCCCTAATAAAGGCCCACTTGTCCCCTGTCTGCTTTTCTGTCAGCACAGGCTCTACAGAATGTGAATGTGATTTCATCAAGTGGCACTTGGTGGCATTCTCTCTCATAAAGTAAGTCATTTTGTAAATCTTGTTCACCACCTTTGTGATAAACAAAGCCCCGGATGACTTTGCTGAGAAGGCACCTTCGCTAGACCTTTCATTGCCCTGGTTACTTCGTATAACTGTGGTGGCACCTATGATACCACTTTTTACTCATTCCATTAAATGGGAAAACAACATTGACAGCAATCACCATTCTCTGGCTTGCTGCCGCACCAGTCAGCCTGGGGAACATATACTCAGAATGATTTGATGTCTTTTGGTCAGTGATGCACCTAATAAAATGCCTTGTCACAGAAAATAGAAAGTCAAATGGCATTATTTGTAGGTTTTGCTGCATGGTCTGTTCAGTAGTCAATGGCTTAAATGCAGGTGTCCTGGATCATTTCAGATACTAATAAAAATAACACCCTGTGGGGCTGTTCTCTGGGGCTATTGGAAAAATAAAACAGTAGTGTGACTCTACGACCTTGAACTGGAAAAAGCCCTGGCACATTTCACAGGCTGCTGGCCACAGGCTGTGTGAAGAGTTTCTCAGTTTAAGGAATTTGATTTAATCGCATTAATTATGCCTCGTGACTCCACTGAGGAATTCATAGTATATATCACTTTCCAGTTTCTTGGGTGACAAATGTTTTTTAAGTTCACGTGTTTATTTAAAATGCTGTTGAAAGTTTGGCCGTGCTAAAGAGATGACAGCTGTAGACGGCTGAGTTGGTGTGTGAGAAGGAGGATGGGAAAGGACTAGCAAGGCCCCAGAGTGCTGGAGAGGAACAGTGATAGACACTATTTTTTTAGACAGTGTATTTTAAGGTCTTGTTTCGTGTTGTGCTCTGGGATATACTGCTCAGAAGCAGTTCTCATTAAATCATTGTCACGACTCAATGACGTGGATATTGAGATGTGCGTTTGAGAGCTAGGGAGACTGAGGCTCCGAGGTGCAGTGACTTGCCCTGGTCAGGGCTGCAGTGTCTTTGTCGAGGATTCCTCAGCTGGGAGGATTCTCAGGCCGGGGGTGAGAGTAGATGCTGGATACCTTACCATGGCCCCAGATGCCTGCTCTGGGAGCAGGGATGGGCCCCTGGGTCTCGCTGGCGTCTCTCTCCGATGGTCCTCCCCTCCTACCTTGGAGGCTACTCACCAGGGCCGAGTGGCCGCTAATCTGTTTTCCTCGCTCTTCTGCCAGGTGGTGGCCACAGTCACACCGTGTTTGCACTCCTACGGAGAGGAAATAGCTGCAGTTATTCATTCTCTCTCTCACCTGTTGGAATGACCTTTGTTTGTAAGAGATGTTTTATCCCGATCAAGGATAGGGCCTACTTTCTGAATATGCCTTGGCAGTTTCCAGATGATCTGAAGGCAGTCGCAGTAGGCTGACCCCGGGGACCAAATTCCTGGGACACTCACATGAGAAGGCCTCTCAGCAGCCACGCACTTGCTCCTAATGAGGGAACTGAGGCCCAGAGAGGGGAACGGGGCCCACACAGGGCACCACAGGGCAGTAACCAGAATCTAGCCCCCAGTTACTGTGCACGTATTCATTCATCCACTTCCTTCCACCAACTTAATTCTGCGTAAGGTGAGCAAAGTGCTGTCCCAGGCACTGAGGAATCAGCAGCCAGTGACCCAGACAGAGCCCCTGCCCTGGTGGAGTGTAGAGTCCAGTGTTAAACGTTACAGCATTACATCATTACATCACTGCACAGCTCGGTACTATTTGCCATTCTTATCCCCCGGGGGCTAATGAAAGTGTATCCCTGGGAGACAGGGTCTAGTCTGGAGGTCAGGTGATGCATCCTTGCACAAGGATGTTGAGTTGAGCTTGGAAGGATGAGTAGAAATTGAATAGGTGAGCTGAAGGGAAGGGATTCCCAGGATTGAAGGGGAGAAGGGGGAGGAAGCAAACATTGGGGAAACAGAAGGAAGGCGGTGGCTGCAGCAGAGTGAGGGGACGGGGATGGCTGGGAGGTCGGCAGGACCAGGTATGTGGCTTTGAAGGCCGTAGGGGCTTAATCAAGTCCCTAAGAACAGTGGGAAGGCGTCTCATCAGGCGGATGACCTCATCTATTGTTATGGAATAAGATGTTATGGAAAAACCCAAACAAACTTTTTGGCCAACCCAATATTTGCACTTGGGAAACCATCACTAGCAGCTGTGTCCACCCTCAGATGCCAGAGCAGGGTCTGGGCACCTGTTCTGCACACAGTGGACCTTCATTCTGCCGTCATAGGAATGCCTGTGTTCCTTACCTAAACAGGTATGCTGTTTATAAATAAAATTACATGCACTAAATTACTATATTTATTTAAAAGAGCTTAAAGCTATTTATTATAGTGATTTTAAACGTTTTACTCTCAGTCTAGTAAAAATGCTGAAGGTAGAAGCAATTCTTCAAAAGATAATAAAATACGAAAATATTGTCCTTTTCCTCAAAGATGATCCCAGTTATTCTAGATGGAGCCAGAATACCTATCGCAAAAGGGCTGATAAGTGGGGTGCAGATATCTAAGCGGTGAACAGTTTGTTTTCTTGGAAGATATATTTCTTTGACAGCCACCCCAAATTCCCCCGCAGGAGACACAGGAGAGTCAGCTTGTGACTTAAACTGAGGCCAGTACACAGTGTGTTGCTTACTGGGAAGGGCCTGGAGACTTAACATCCCCGACACTGGCAAAGGAAACCTGTTGTCCCCCATCTGAACACAGATGCACTGCCCTTCAGTCATGGCCTGCTGTGTTCTGAAAGCTGGGACAACAGAAAGCTTGGGATGAACCTGCCAGGGTTCGAGCACAGCCCCGAGGAGCAGAGTGCAGGTCAGAGTCGGGACACCAGAGTTCAAGGCCAGTTCCGTCGTTAACAAGGGGTGCGGCCGTGGGGAGTTCAGTTGGCCTCTCTGAGCCTGAATTTCTTCTGTAACATGGGGCTGATGCTCCCTGCCCGTAGCAGGTGTGGGCAATTCAACAAGGCAATGAAGGTGAAAGTGGAACCCCACAAATGGAGGATGACAGTTCAGCCTGGCAGCCACCTTCATGAGAGTGCAAAGTTTCTCTTGTCGGGGGAGGTCTTCCATTATTTTAGGATCTTTTTTTTTTTTTTTTTTTTTTCCTTGCGTTATGCGGGCCTCTCACTGTTGTGGCCTCTCCCATTTGCGGAGCACAGGCTCCGGACGCGCAGGCTCAGTGGCCATGGCTCACGGGCCCAGCCGCTCCGCGGCATGTGGGATCTTCCCGAAACGGGGCACGAACCCGCGTCTCCTGCATCGGCAGGCGGACTCTCAAGCACTGCGCCACCAGGGAAGCCCCCTATTTTAGGATCTTTTTGGCAAGAATAACCCATAGTCAGTTTAAAGGACATGCATGCACACGACACACACATGCACACACACACAAACACACATAGTGAAGATTGTTGGGATGGGCTGCTTTCATGGGGTCTCTACTGGGAACCAGCTGAATGCCCTTTTTGGCAAGGGGCCGCCATAGAGGTGGTGAAGAGACCTGTTTCACCTGCAGATACCCTCTCCTGCCTTGTCTGCCCCCCCCCAGCGCCCTCCAACTTGATAAAATCTGCAGCTCGTTGGAGGCATTGGGCCCCTCCCACTGGGACTGCCGCGTTTGCCAATGCTAGTGTATAATAAAATGTTTCATTCACCTTGTGACTCAGAAGTTTCATTTCATCCCTGGGACATCACTGACTGTGAGGCCCCACTGGGTCTCTGTGGTGCACCGGCAGCACTGCAGGAGTCCAGTGGGAACTTGCTAAAGGAAAAGAAATGACAACCCCTGAGGGTATCCAGATCCCATGGAGATGGCCGGAATTCTTCCAGAATTTGGAATTGATTTTCAAAATCAAGAATGCAAATCTGAGTTCATGCTGTGTTCAGCTGCATATTATATAAAGAGAAGACTCAAGTACACACTTAAAAGGGATGTTTAAGTTCTAAAAATTATAAGAGTTTGTGGAGGCCGCAAGATCTATAGATCCAGTGAGGTTTCTCTTTCCTTTAGTCTTTCAGGGGGTCCAATCAGCAAACCAGTCATTGCAGCCGGTAGGAAAAGTGCTTTCTGGAAAACGTAACTGGCCACATTTGAATGAATCGTAACGCGTTTCTCCCGGTTTTGCTCTTCTGTCCTAGATTCATTTGTTGGTGGAGTCATTGGCCTCATTTTTGCCTACATTTGCTACAGACAGCACTACCCGCCTCTGGCCAACACAGCTTGTCACAAACCCTACGTCAGTCTACGAGTCCCGCCGTCGCTGAAGAAAGATGAGAGGCCCACGGCCGACAGCGCACCCAGCCTGCCCCCTGAGGGGATCACCGAGGGCCCCGTATGACTGGGACCTCGGAGGACGGTCGCTGAGCCCAGGCCACGCTCTACCACCTATCGTAACACAGTAGACGAGGTTTTCTGTAGTGTGTTCCTCATCAGTTGTTTATCCAAGTTGTCCTTCTGCTTCCATTTTGCCGACGGTGTTCCTGCTACTTTTAAATGTCTGCTTTCAGCTCTCCTGAATTTGCGAGGGAAGGACCCAGGAACGTTCTCTGAGAGACCTCTGGGTTTGGAAGGAGGCTGCAAGGGTGGGCGGGCACAGCTTGGTCGATTCCTCCATCTGAAATGTTTTCTATCGCAGGCGCCGTCCTATGATTTCATGGTTGTAAAGCATAATAAAATGTCGCACCTGGAAGACGTGGCGTTGGCCGTTCACCGCACAAGTCATTCGGGGCCCAGTGAGTCTCACATCCACCGCCGGGTGAGCATCTGGCCCAGCGCTAGCTCTGGCTGTGGTCATTCTAGGTGCTGAGCTGGGGGCAAAGGCTGAGAACTTTCACAACAGTCAGCCGCAGCTTATGTCTCTGAAATGGACTTGCAACTTGGAGATACAGCCTGAGCATCTCCAGGGCTTTTTGAATCATTGAATCTAGAAGGAAGTGACAGGAAGACGCTCCCGCATAGGCTTCCACCAAACACACGATGACAATACAGATCCCAAGCATGGGGCGGGGGCCACTGCAGTTTTCTGAGGGCCCTGCGGCTACCGTATCCTTTCAAGGGAACGGCTGGGTGACGATGAAGTAAGAAGCAGCCTCCAGGTAGGAGTTTTTCCCCTGTAGGATCCCAGTGCTTGAAAGCTTCCTCAGGTGGCGGCAGCAAGTCCCCATTCCTATCTGGCAGGTGACGTTACGGCATGAGAGGGCACGGGCAGAAGGTGCCAGAGCACGATCAGCGATTTGCTGTCTCTTGCTCGGCTCTTGGAACCGTTGAAAAGCGGCCAGTCGAGAACCGTTTTTAGTCTGAGTACAGAGCCTGCCGCTCCTCGGCCAGCCAGTTCTCTTCAAAGCAGCGGGCGTCCCTCCGTTCGGTTCTGATCACGCGCACCAAGTGGTTCTCCAGATTCCTGGGCCTGCTGCGATGGGAAGCGTTTCTGGTGTCTGAAGACTGTCACTTTCCAGCAGTCCGTGGAACAGACTGCATTTGGAAAGACTCGAGTGGCTGTACAAGTGGTCACCTGCATAGCTCTGCCCTGGGTGTGCCGGTTGGAACCATCAGGATGTCTTTGATCCGCCGTGTCCTCTGCGGGCTCAGCCTGGGAGTGTGTGAAGATCTTACCAAATGAGCCCCAGTGCAGCCCTCCAGCTGTGGTCCTTCCAAACCTGTGTCTGCACTGAGCCAGGGAGCCACCATCCTGTTGTGGGGTCAGGGGAGGGGAAGTCTTGAAGTGACATCCCTCCAAAGTCAGATGTTTTTAAATTGCAGCCGTTACACTCACAAGCAACTTTGAAAACACATGTGAGACACTTTAAAATCTAAGTCGTAGCAATTCATGAGATCATTTTAAACCCAGAGCCAAAGTTCATGTAAAATTTTAAACAATATTCTGATCTAACTAAAAATTTCGTAATTTTCAAAATAAAGTCAGAAATAAAAATGCATGAAAAGGAGCCTTTGCTACCTACTGTTGAAAAAAAGAGCACCCAATGCAGCCCGTATACTTCTTTGATTCCAGTTTTCCCCATACTCTGCATAGCAAGCAGAATGAAAGTGAGAGAGTTACACTTCAGTTAATGATGGCAAAATTCTGGACCATGAAGTGTAAATTTAATATAAACACATTTAAAGATAAATGGAAGGACTCTGAAAAGTAACAAAGAACAGAGCGTTGTTAATGCTGATGATTATTCAGTTGAAAGTCCTAAGACAGGCCATGTAAATGCTTTCATTAAATTGTAATTAAAATCACAAAGGACGTAATAACCTGAAGTGTATGGCAGGATCCTTAGGAGACATAATTAACAGTATGAGCCAGTTCACAAAAGGCAGGTGTTTTTGTGGATCCATATATTTTAATTTCACGCTCCATTAAGGTGAAGGAAATGCAGCGTCGCAAAGGCACTAATGAAACGGCCAAGAATGAAGGCATTTGCTCCCCAGCCCCCCCCCGCCCCCCCCGCCCCCCCCGTCTGTTTTGGATGCGAGGGGTTACTGATTCAGTCTCTGGCAAAGCAAGTTGCAGACGGTGCAAACGGAGCCCAGCTCGAAAGCTGTGGTCCGCGAGTCTCTTCTTCCCTCCCGGAGTGAACGTGCTGAGTGAGCGTCCCTCTATGCTGGCCAGCTCTGTGTCGTCCTCTGTCCTGTGGTCAGCCCGGAAGTAAGGGGGCTTGGAAGGGAGAGTCCCCAGCATTTTCCCCTGTTGCCTTTCTCCAGGTCCTCAGGTTACCTGTACACGGGGGCGGGGTGGTTTCCTTGTTCATTTTATTTTATTTTAGTATTTCATTTTTGGCTGTGTTGTGTCTTTGTTGCTGCACGCGGGCTCTTCTCTAGTTGCGGTGCGCGGGCTTCTCATTGTGGTGGCTTCTCGTTGCGGAGCATGGGCTCTAGGCGCGTGGGCTTCAGTAGTTGTGGCACATGGGCTCAGTAGTTGTGACTCGCGGGCTCTAGAGCGCAGGCTCACTAGCTGTGGCGCACGGGCTTAGTTGCTCCGCGGCATGTGGGATCTTCCTGGACCAGGGCTCGAACCCGCGTCCCCTGCATTGGCAGGTGGATTCCCAACCACTGAACCACCAGGGAAGCCCCCCTTGTTCTCTTGATTACTAATTCCCTGGTGCCACCCTGTAGCTCCTGAGTTAGAGGGGAAGGAGGGACCCGGAATCTGTAGTGAAGACTCACAAGCAATTCTCAGGCACTGTGGCTGGGAGCCATGCTCCTGCCTCCCTTTTTCCCTGAGGACAGGATAGGGGAGAAGGGGACTGTGCCACGGGGCTGTTCTTAGGGTGTCCTCTACTCTTGGAGGGAAAGATCTCGGACGCGATCACGTTTCATTTTTGGTTGATGTTTCAGTCAGTGCTGCGTACCGTGTCCTGTAGGGCCACTGTCAACGCATCTGCTGAAGCCCCAGAGTCCCAAGCATCTCCCTTGACGGTGTCTTTTCTCCGATTCCCGTCGTTTGATGCATAAGCAACTCCTCTTGGTTTTACCTTCAAAATACACCTCGCACCTGCCACTCCTCACTTGCTGGCTCCTCCCCTCCTTTGCTGTTGCCGCCCTAGTCCAAGGGTTCACCCTCTCTCACCCGAACTGCTGTGATGCCTCCTACCTGCATCACCACGTCCACCTCTGCCCCCCAATCCATGATCCACTCGGGAGCCAAAGTATCCACATGTGTGCACGTGCATGTGTGTGTTCACGTGCGTGTCTGCATGTGTGTGTGTTGGAGAGCCCAGCATTGAGGCCAGGTAAGAATCATGGGACTGGAGATGTACAAAATATAGTCAGTATTTAATTCACAACTCACACGGTTTATTGCACCCAATCGGCACACAACACAGGTCAGACGGAGTAGGGAAAATAGAAAAAGGGGGTAACGAGCCCTCCTAGGAGGAGGCCAGGAAGGAGGCGTCTCAGCACAAGCGAAGGTCCCGGGTCAGGCACAGGTCACAGGGCCTTGGGCAGCTCCATCAGGAACAGCTCCCAGCAGCCTGGAGTCAGGTCCTTCCAGCAGAAGGGCCTTCCAGCCGCTTGGCGCGGGGTCTCTTTTTAAGGAGCAACAGGGGAGGGGTCTTGGCTCTACCAGTTGTTCCTTGTGTTCCAGTGATGTCCGTGGTGCATCAGACTTCTTATCTCAGTACCGCTCTTAGTTTATCCCTCTAAGACACTCGCAGTCCTACGGCAGACGTTTCAAAACAACTACATGGACGTTTAGGTTGGCCGCTGTGACTCCATTTTGAGCTACTTAACATGTCTTAACATGGCTTAAATCCTGCAAGTATCACACAGAAGAAATCACGTCATAACCATGTGTTCTTTTTTTATTTGGGTATTCTTTATGTAGAATACACCTCACCTATTTTGAGCATCCAGCTTTTTGAGTTTTGATCATTGTACACAGTTGTGTAACCACCACCGCAAGATACAAAACTGCTCCCTCCTCCTGGGAGTTTCCTTTTCTCCTCTGCTTGCCACGCCCTCCTCTGTCCCTAGCCCCAGGCAACCATGGATCTGCTTTCTGTTGTTAAGGTTGTACCTTTTCTAGAATGTCATATAAATACAACCACACAATACGAAGGTTTTTGTTTCTGACTTCTGTCTGTTTTTGAGATCCACCCACCTCATTGCGTGTCTGCTCCAGGCTCCCTCCCCTCTGTTCATACACCAGCTGAGCATCCCTATGCCCTCTGCACCCAGCAGCTCTGCCTGGGCTCCTCCTTGCCTGGCTCTTTCTCTTTCTTCTGGTCTCAGATGCCTCCTCCTCCGAGCATCCCTCACCACGCCAGTCCTCTTGACACACACACACACACACACACACACACACACAATTATTTTTCTCTCAGATTCTCCTATTAAGTTCCTTCGTGTCACAGTTATATTATTCATATACTCTTGCAGGTTGAATTGCATCCCTCAAAATTCATCTGTTGAAGTCCTAACCCCCAGTACCTTATGATGTGACCTTATAAAGAGAGGGGCTCTTTACAGAGGTAATCAAGTTAAAATGAAGTCATTAAGGTGGGTACGAATCCAGTATGACCTGTGTCCTTTTAAAAAGGGGAAGTTTGGAGATGGACCTACACAGAGGGCAGACTGTGTGAGGATGGCCGTCCACAAGCCAGGGAGAGAAGGCTGGGACAGACCCTTTTCCTCACAGCCCTCAGAGGAGCCCACCCTGCTGACACCTTGATCTTGGACTTCTAGCTCCAGAACTGTGAGACAATACATTTCTGTTGTTTAAGGCACCCAGTTTGTGGTACTCTGTTACTGCAGCCCTGGCAAACAAATACATTTTTTTTTTCCTTTCTGCCCTCACCAGAGTGTAGGTCTGGTGGGAGCAGGGACCCCTCTGTCTCATGCACAGTTCTGTCCCCAGGGCCCAGCACAGAGGAGACCCTTGGTATGTTGCTGAATTAAAGAATGGGCACATCCTCTTATTTTTTCTCACCGTTATCCCTCTAAGGTTGGCTTATCAAATTTAGGTTACCTGTTTTTTAGGTGACACAACTAAAAGCGAGAGAATTCTTGATTCCTAGTCCCGTGTCATTCCAATTACTCCATAGTTCCCTGAGAGCCAGCTTGAATAAAAGAAAATCTACCAGCCTTCCCTTCTTATAGAATACAGAATGCTTGTTCTCCTGAAAGTGTTTCAGAAGGTTCAAAGCTATCACATTTGAGCTGTGGAGACAGAAGCAAAAATAGTAACAAA